AAAACCCCAAACTCCATACCACCAAAGTTTTTGAACTCTCAAACAGAAAAAAAAGAGAGGCTCTCTCACCTACACACAGATATAGCCGCTCGCTCTTGGCTTTAAACGCTCACTAGCGTTTTGGGAGTGGCTCCAAAAAATAAAGAAAAAACTGATATAAAAGTCAAATAAAAATATTACCCACTGTTAATGTAATTGAAAACGTAATGGCCCTAAAAAACTTATAACTTAATTAAGTAATTTTGCCAGTTTAGGTTACAAATTTCGTTGCTACAGTTAGCCTTCGAAAAAATAAAATAAATTCACGTAGTTGTTTTCGTGTTTTTTTTTTATGTGTGTGTGTTTAATTATCGCTTTGCTTAATTAGTAAGCACCTGTTGCGGTACACTATATTTTGAGGCAATTTTAAAAACTGACGTTGTCATGACGAAAACATTTTGCTGAGTGGAGGTGAAAGCCCTAAGCCAAAGTATCAATAACAATTGTGGGTGTGTGTGAAAAATGGGTGGGGATTGTCTGTCGCGTGGGGCTTCTTCACCGTTTTTCACACGGAAAAAGGGCTGAACTAAACTTAAACCCATAGAACTCAGCAGAAATACGATCTTCGACGGGTTCGATAAATAAATAAACAAGAGGATTAGTCATTCATCAGAGATTAAGATATTTGGAAGCCTATATCTATAATGATTTATAATCGTATTCTAAGACCCTATTAGATCTCCTAGGACTTTCAATCTTTAAATTTTAACCTTTAAAGTAATAGGAATCGTAATCTTCCACGCTTAGCTTGACATTCCTAACATTCCATTTAATTTGATCGAGACGAACACTCGGAAGAATTTCCCAGAATAGAGTTCTTATAGAGAATGCAATTTTTCCGCCTTTCGCTTATCAAATCTCCGGAGAGCCAAAGAGAAAAGCACTCCCACATTATATACACATAAATATTGCATGAGTACGACGTTGACTCAGATGACTTTCCCATCGTGGGCGGAAACGGCCGATAAGCCAGAATAATAAATACAAGATGCGAGAGAATAACAAAGCCTGTAGAAGGGGTACAAATAGGGCCGGAAGACGAAATTATATGCAATTAAAGCAGAAAACTCACTTTCCATGCGACCCAAATTCAAATGGCAAGCGACCTAATTTTTGACCTAAGACTCCAAAAATTCTGTTGTCAGCAAAGAGTTCAGCAGGGGTTAAATGGCAAAGTTATGTGGGGGGTGAGAGAGAGAGACGGAAAGAGAAGGCTCCCCAAAAAAGCTTGAACCAATTAACGCACTCAATTAAGTCGGAGGCATCATAACTTGACCTAGGGCAGGCACGCCCCAGACAAAGACCACAATTTAATTAGGCGTACATGACAGAGTCTTCACTTTTCTTCGTTTTTTTGCAGCTGAATCCGACCGAGCCGCAGCCAGTGCCATTATTCCTGCCCGCTCATCTGAACAACAAGCCGATTTGCGACGACATCATCCGCAAGTTCTCACCCTCGAGGCGTCTGGAGTCGCGAGAGCTCGCCAAGCTTCTCGCCCAACCGCATTTTCGTGTAAGTAGCAAGGAAAGTCACTGGGAAAGCCTTTCTCCACTCTCACTTAAAGATATCTGAGTTTAAGAAAGTTACATCTGAAGAGGTTTTATTAATATATGAGCGTTTATTTTGATTTAGGGATCCCGGTTTAAGGCCTTTGAATTCTAACATTTCATCTTTTTATGATATTTGAATATTCCAAAGAATTCGCGTAGTGGATAACTTTTATAAACTATTGGGTTCATGTATTATTAAAAGATATATAGGGAAATACCTTAAATATTTTTTTTTGTGGGTTTATAAAACCAACATTTTCTTTCAATTTCCGGTGTAGACCCTATTATTTACATTTGAAAATAAACATAATCCAGAACTTTCAAAATTGTTCAGTAAGAATGGTATATCTTAATTGCTAAGTTAGGTCAGCAAAAATAGGAGGATAGGGGCACGGAATATTTATTTTTTTAAGCAATAAAGGCATTCAAAGCACCGGACTTTATATTAAACCTTAATAAATTTGGAATCAGGAAGCATACTGATAACATTTTAATAAAATATTTGTCTTTCAGGCCCTTGTGCGCGCCCATGATGAGATAGGAGCGCTCTACGAGCATCGACTGAAAGCCGCCGGTGGATCCACCACTCAACTAGAGATCGCCAGTCAACGCCAATCGGGTGGCTACCTGTTCACCGAGGACATTCTCAGCACCAAGATGCCCGTGGAGACCATCAAGATGGTGGGTCTGCGCCGAGATCCCAACAAGCCCCTCGGCCTGACCGTCGAACTGGACGAGTTCAAGCAACTGGTGGTGGCCAGAATTCTGGCTGGTGGAGTGATCGACAAACAGAGCATGCTGCATGTGGGCGATGTTATTCTGGAGGTGAACGGCACCCCGGTGCGCACGCCCGACGAGCTGCAGGTGGAGGTATCGCGGGCCAAGGAGAATCTCACCCTTAAGATCGGACCCAATGTCGATGAGGAGATCAAGAGCGGTCGCTACACTGTGAGTGGGGGTCAGGTAAAACAGAATGGCATCGCGGGTCTCGAGACGGGCAAGAAACTGACGGTAAGTTAGATGTTTGCTTGAAGAATTCTTCCCAAGGATTGCTGCTTGCTTGCATGAATTTTGATTAGTTGAGAGATGTGCTTATTTTGTTTTATAATTCAGAAAAAGTTCAAGCAATGGAATTAGAATTATTAAAACATATTTAAATCGATTTCACTACATTTTTGATTTCCTAATGAACTGATTTACCCTTTAATTCTGTTATGTTAAAGCTTTACTTTAAGTACTCATTTTAATAAAAAGTAAACCATAAGATATTCCTATTTTTAACTATGGATACTCATAATAATCTTCCTCATTAAAATACATAAAGACGTTATAAGTCAAACTTAGAACGAATTCCCTCCAAAATTCTCGAATCGCTTGCAACTAAGTAAGTAAATCTTGGCATAGTATACTTGAACTCCTATAAATTGTAAAATATTAAAACAGTAATTTAAAATTTTTATTTATAAACAGTGCTATATGCGTGCGCTGTTCACATACAATCCGTCGGAGGATTCTTTGCTGCCATGCAGGGACATTGGATTGCCCTTCAAATCGGGTGATATTTTGCAGGTAAGTTACTCAATAAAAACCTAATAAAATAGTTTATACCTTTCTTTTATCTTCCCCTTAATAAAGATCATCAATGTCAAAGACCCCAACTGGTGGCAGGCGAAGAACATTACTGCCGAATCGGAAAAAATTGGTCTTATACCATCTCAAGAGTTGGAAGAGCGACGCAAAGCTTTTGTGGCCCCCGAAGCGGATTATGTCCACAAAATAGGCATTTGCGGGACAAGGGTTAGTTCTTTTATAAAGTCTTTAAATATAATCAATTTAAATATAATATTATTTCTCAAAAGATATCGAAACGAAAGCGCAAGACCATGTACCGATCGGTGGCCAACTGTGAGTTCGACAAGGCGGAACTGCTGCTTTATGAGGAGGTCACCCGAATGCCTCCCTTCCGCAGGAAAACTCTGGTCCTCATTGGAGTTTCTGGAGTGGGAAGGCGCACGCTGAAGAATCGCTTGATTAACAGCGATGTGGACAAGTTCGGAGCAGTTATTCCACGTCAGTATAAAAGATAGAGATTTCCGACCTGAACACATTGCATATGATAATACATTTCCTATCCACGTACCAAATTTCATAACGATCGACCGAAGTTTACGATCAAAAGGCCTTTTTAGATATATCTTAATAAATTTTTTAAACGTAATATTAAATAATGATATATTACGTATTTATTTTAGATACAAGTCGTCCCAAGCGCGCCTTGGAGGAGAATGGCACAAGCTACTGGTTCATGGACCGCGAGGAAATGGATGAGGCCGTGAGGAATAACGAGTTCCTGGAGTATGGCGAGCACAATGGCAATCTGTACGGCACCCACTTGCAGTCCATTAAGGATGTGATCAACAGTGGTCGCATGTGCATCCTGGATTGTGCACCAAATGCCCTGAAGATCCTGCACAATAGCCAGGAACTGATGCCATTTGTTATCTTTGTGGCAGCGCCGGGCATGGAACAGCTCAAGACCATCTATGCAGATCGCAGGGCCACTGGCTCCAATAGGAATCTATCTGTATGTTTGACATAGAACCCTTAGATTAGGCACTCCTTTAATCCGAGCACGTACTCCACAGTTTGACCGCCAGAGCTCCATTAGATTCAGCTCCAGACGCGCCCGTACGCTCGAGTCCCTAGCATCGTTGTATGAGGTAAAGTTGCCAGACCTGTCCTTAATCTAAAATACCTATCAAATGTGATCAATTCACTCATCCGCTTGGCGCACCTAGGCCACCCTAGTAGCCCTCTTAGATATCTGCCTGAATACCCAGACATTGCTTAACACATTCGAATTGTATGGTTCTTTTGAACAGGACGACGATCTGGTGGCCACCGTCGAGGAGAGCAGCTTTGTCCAGCGGAAATACGAAAAGTACTTCGACATGGTCATCGTGAACGAGGACTTCGACGAGACGTTCCGTCAGGTGGTGGAAACTCTGGATCAGATGAGCCACGAGGAGCAGTGGGTGCCTGTCAACTGGATCTACTAGAAACGAAACTCTACCCATAAGCTACTGCAATTTCGCATTCTTGCATATATAGAGAAAATATACACAGCAAAAATCTATTGCCTATCATCACAAGAAAAGGGATTATTCCAGTAATTGAAGCTTAAAATCGCAGCACAATACGAATCTTACAAAAAGCATTAAAAAGCTAACGTTTTCAATACTACTTCCTGCTGATTAAAGGTTTTTGTCAAGAAGGTGCTCAATTACTGTTGTTTTCCACATTAAATATAAATTATGTATATATGCAATGTTTTGTATAATTTGAAATGCGCCCTCCGTTTACACTTCAGTTTTCCTTAAGTCTAAGCCTAATTTTACGAAACGAATTCGTCCATTTTACAATCTCTTATTGTTTTATTTATACGAGCATTATGATTTACGTGGATGCATATGTATCTCTTCAGTTTATAATTTTAACGAATCTCCTCAGTACAACAATCCTTTCTGCCAATATTTCTAGTAGTTTTTAGACTTGTTTGAATAAAATGTATAAGTTTAACGAACTAGTTGAATATTGATGTGGAGTAAAACAAATTGAATACGAATAAATTTGGCTCAAATAAATTATAGAACGAGTTTTCCTTTAACCGGGGCTCCAAAATAAATTTTATTTGCTGAATTTAAAGTCTTAGAATGTGTATGTTGAATGCCAGGCATTTAAGCAACTATAGTTAAAAAGATTTATAGGTGAATTCCAAGAGATTTCTCCACCACAGCGTGTGGCTGACGCATTTGCTCGCTGTACTCTGGAAGATTCATAAAGTCCTCGAAACCGATGGAGTCAACACGGCCAGTCAGGACGTCGTCCATGAAGTTGCTGCAAGAAATATGAGGATTTGAGATAATTACATGTACAAATGGTTAATATAACAATGATAAACTTCAAACCTATTCAGTATGATTGCAAGTTAGTTACTTTAATGGCTATTAACTCAATGGTATAAAAACTTTCAAATAAAGATGTTATATATCTCTAATTCTTTAGTGGTTATTTTCTAAGTTGCCATAGAAGGAATCTGAACTAATTTCGGAAAAGGTTTTCACAAAAAAATGTTAAGGGATTTCAAGGAGCTGTTTAGGCATACTTTTTAGTATGCTACCTACTAAACAAAACGTTTAATTTAAAATCTTGAGAAAGCATGCTATCCCAGATCGTATATGATACATGTGGTGTGGGTTCTTTGTGATGATATGGGTTTCCGGGTTGGGGAATAGGGGGGTTCCCCGGGATAGTGAACGTTTCTTGCTTAGATAGAGCTGTTCCTCGAGATAATAAAGGTTCCCTGCGGCAACAGAGGGGTTTCCTGGGTTGACTAGTCTCTCACCTGGACTGCAGGAAGGGCAGGCGGCCCACCTGGCGGGCGGCAAAGCGCTCCATTCCCATTTTGAGGGGCACGCCGAGACCCTCGCGGTTGCGTAGCATCTGCATGTTGAGGTTGTACTGGTGCTCGTTGTAGTTCAATTCCGAGTCGCGCAGCCGGTGGACGTGGGCCAGTTGGTTGAGGCAATTGGCCTCCGTGGGCATTCCCACACGGCCGGTGGCATTCAGTACGGACACCTCCGAGGGCTGAACTTTCAGGGATGGCTGGTACTGTTTTGCAAAGGTAATTCACTTCATTAGCATCACTATTAACTGGACAACGCCATGTACTCACCATCTTGTATGTAGTTTTGTATATTCCAAGCTTTTTGAAGAAAAATCAAGTGATTTACAAAAAATCTTGTTGAATGACAAACAAATTCCGTGCGAAATAGAGGTGGAACAAAGTTGATGACAACTCGATTCTATCGAAGTTTCTGGAAAAATCGATTGTTTCCTAGCAATCATCGATTACGCGATTAGTTGGGACGCAACCCATGGTAGAGAGAATGGCTAGACATTATAGCGCGGCTTCAACCCATTTTACTTGACATGTGGTTAAGCCCAGACTCGAACCATGAACTCGTAAAATAAAGGCGCCAAATTTGAAATTTCATTTTTGATAAGAAAACATTTTACACTCAAATTCTATTTTAAATTTATAAAGGAACATTCAAAAAAAAAAATTACGCAAGCAATTAAAAAAAAACAAAAGGTTTCTTAGCATATAAATTTCAAAATTAAAGTTGGTTAACGTGTTTTTAGAATAAGAAAACAAGAGAATACAAATCTCAAATATTTCTTACAAGCACAAATGTAATATTGGCGAATCAACCGCATTCTTCATACATTATTTAACTTTTGAATGAACCATTTTGCATCGAAAACAAACTAAAAATGTAGAATTTTTAAATGTAGTTGAATTTGAATATAATAAAACTACGATTTTTTGATAGCTGATTGTCCAACGTCACTTTAGTTCAATACCATGTTGATAAGTTAAATTTTGGTCTATGTAAATTTGTTTTATTAGCGCGTTTAGCACTTTGGTCAAGTGACGACTTTGAGTGTTGTGATTAATTACACCCTCGCTGGGCCAGCAACGAATATACACAAAATATATATCGAGCTCGGCCGCAGCTCTAATCAATTCGATCAACAAAAGAATTGCTCGCTGGCTCTGGCTTTTGTTTTCCTTTTCTCGCCCACACCTTTTAGCGGCTTTTATGATCTTCTGCTCCACAGAGACGCGATTCATTTGCATCGAGTGACAATCGCGAACGAATGCGAACCCAAAATCACACGACAGAGCTTAATTAGTGCATGGTCACTAATAAAGATTTTGGTCAGTGGATATTGTGTTAATCAAACTCCCGCACACAATAGGCACAAACTGTCTCCGGTCGATCCGATCCTATCCAATCTGAACTTGAAACCAAAAGCCAGCCGGATGAAAACAATAACCGGATGGATCTGTGGCTTACTTTTAAAGCGGAAAAATATAGTTCTAAATCTGGACTTGAGCGGTAAATAAATGGTTTGGTTATTAAACATTTTCAGTTATATATAAATATATGTTTTTGTTGTTAAATATTACTGCATTTACCTACATTAAAATTTACAACCATATAATACCATTTTAATATATGTATGAGCTTTACAAACTGTTTTTTATAACATCCTTTTTCAATTGGACACATTTCTTGTAATAAATAATGATAAAATAAGCGTTTAATATATATCACCATTATTTTTAATGAATGAATTCTATCTTTAGAAACTGACAAAACGATAAGTAAATCATAATTATCTAAGACCAAATAAGATTGGAAATATTTATGGCATCTGGTTGATAAAACTATGTTTGATTTTACTCGCGATTGCCCTTTTATTTCCCTCTTACTATATAATCAAAAAATTTAATTTTATAATATTTGTTGTATTTTTTTTAAGGCTTAAAAACCTAATTATTTATAGTATATTAAAATAAGTAACTTTCATAAATATTTTATTTATAGAAAATCTATACATTTTTACTATATCTCTTATAAGCCACTCCCATTATCTTTCCCCTTAAAATCTCTTTCCAAGATTGATTTATTGCGCTTACTTTCCGTTTTACAGCCTTTGACCAATTAATACATAGTAGACGAGTCTGAAGCAAATCAACCAATTTACCCAGTCGGATATATGGATATAAATACGGATGACCAAAGAGTCAACTATGTATGGTCAAATGAAGATCTCAGGGCGAGAAGATCGAAATGTAAAAGTCAAATAAAAGTATAACGTCAAGAATTAACATTTTTTCACAGCAATAAATGCATAAAAGTCAAAGATGTGTACACTAAAAAGGGGAAAGACATAAGCGCAACTTAAGGGGGTTTATAAGGACGGGAATTTCTGTTAGAAGCAGATATATTGGACTGTTATTGTCAACCTCTATGTCTTCTGTACGTGCACTAAGAGAGATATCTTCACCACATCGATTACATCGTAGAATTTTGTAAAAAGTGTTATAGATTCCATAAGGTATTATGCTAAATTATTAGTAACTTTTTAAAAAGTGTTAAAGATTCGTTAGGGTATTAGCTAAATTAGTAAACTGTAAGTTTTTTGTCTTGTCATTTCTAAATTTCTAACATTTTTAAGATGTCTAATGTAGGACGTTTTTTTTTTGAAGACAGAATAATTAGATTATTATTTTTTCCCTCAGTGCATAAGTACACCCATTTATGTATGACGTATATGGTATAAATTTTATAATCTTTTGCAGGCCGTCTCCGCTGGATGCTACCCATCGTTCGCCATTGTCGTCGCTAATAGAGACATACAACGTCTACTGGGAATTGATCAGGGATCGAAAGAGATGGAGGCTTCGTTAACGGCAGAAAAAGTTTGAATGTTTCGTTACTTTTCTTGGCTGCCATAAACTTTTATGGCTGTAAGACTCAGCGGAAGACGAGGACAATGGATTGGGATCGTGGATCTCGACTCGGGGATCAGAGAACAGGGAGCAGCTGTAAGCAGCCGTCGAGATGATTGGGCATTATGCCGGACCAGGGTTCGGGGCTATTCGGTATCTTTCTTTTTTTTTTATAACCATAGGGGTCGCTGTCGCTTTGACGGTCCTCCTCCCATGGGTGCCAATTAAGACACCAGGAAGAGGGTTGGAGCTGGGCAGGGGATCCGATCTGGACCCTATTAGCAGCCATATTGCCGAACACTGAGGAAATTTAGAAGTAAAGGAAATAAACACATATGTTGAAAAATAGGGATTTCAGAGAATTACAGTTCAGAATCTCTTAATAGAAAATGGCAGTATCATATTTAAGAAAACTTCACTCCACATGCCTCTTCTGTAAAGGATCGTTCAAATAAAAGTATAGCCTAATTGAAGAGTATTCTCGTAATAGACTTTGATATACTTACTATAAATATTCCTTCGAATGTGAAAATATTTCATTAATATTTTTCCACCAATTCGCTCTGTGCAATGGGCACCATAAAAGTTATATCCCGTTCGTGAGTGATCTGAGTAAGATCGCTCCGTACTTTTTATGGTCTCCATTCGCTAGGATCCCCCTCTCCGCCATTGGACAACTGGCTTCACATGAAACCCCAGATATATTTGGTCATAAATCAAACGCCTGAGTGAGAGATGCACAATTCGGTGATGCATTTTATCCATTTTTGAGAATGTCAGGATGTGTTTCAGAAAGAAATGGTGGACGCAAAACATAAGCTGTGAATTCGACGTAATTTTGGCAGTGGCATGTGTAATGCAGTAGCGAAGAAAAATAGAGGGTATACGAAAAGAAGAGGCGTCGGCAAAAGTCAAAAAAACCATTTCGTTACGCCAGGATGACCAAAGGCCAGCGACCAGAATGGAACGGGTTGAGCCGATCTGAGCTGCAGAGTTCCACCAAATCGGGAAATATATATACATAATACATATCTCTGCCGATCTCTCGACATGTGCATTTGGCGTAACAGAAACAGAAACAAATGCAAACACACACTGCAGTCGTCCGCTCCCAATTTGGTGTATCTTTTTTAGCGTGTTGGTGTGAAAACGTCGTCCACTTCCTTTATCGGGGGGTATATGTTTCGGGTTTTTTTTTTTCGTTTCATTTCTGGTTACTGGTCTCCCCGGGTTATTTTGCATCTTCGCTTACATAAAAGTCAAAATATTTTCGGTGCAAAATAAAACAAAAACCCTGACGCTGCTGTTTTAATCTTAAAACGTTTTCCGATTTGGTCACGGTTCTCTTCGGTTGGAAACCAGTTGTATCAAAATCTGGACAGGTCGTATATTTCGCATCGGCTTTGACATTACCGATTCTGCTAATCGCAAGCCCTATAAATCAACCCCTCAAGAGCTCCAACTGGGCACAACGGCTATACTTGAAATACTAGACTATAACTATATCGTCTGGCACTTCAGATCACCTTGTTTGTTGTGACGGGTGCCAAGTCAATCGGTCTGTTCCCTTACATTCCTTATAGACTGGCTAGGATTTCCTAAGAATTTTGTATTTTAGTGCGAAAATAAATTTAACTTATTTCGCCCACTTAAGTAATTATTTTTAGAACATTGTATACGAAAATATCATAAACTTTAGATTCTATTTTATAGAGGTTGTTTGGAATTTATAGTTTCTTGAACGATTTCCTTCCTTACATACACCAATCAGCCGTCAAATTTAAAATCTCTAGTTTAGCTTTAAGAAGTCTTAACACGCAAGTTTCAGATCTTTATCTAACTATCTATAAGCTGTAGAAACCATATATTTATATTATCCAGCGAAAATAATCTTTATTTATTATTTTCTCATTTTTTATTTAACATAAGTTTTAACCAACTTCTGTTGCTTTTGAGACAAAAAGTGATGATGACTCGCACCTTTTTTCCACTGTTCCTTTCATGACGGAATTGGGCCAATATATTAAGGTTGAACGTACAATCCCAAATTCTTCAAATGAAAATTAAGCGCTCTCAGTTGGCGAGACTACTTTCATCCCAAAACATAAAATCAAGGCTACTTTCATCTCTATTTTAAAATCAATTAGTCTCAAAAAACTGGAAAGCTTTTCGTCTTGATCTTAATGTTGTTTCTTCTCAAATAAAAGTAAAGACGAATTTGGAAAGTGGTATATTTTATTTACCTGGTTCTACTGATAAAATAATGTAACTCAAGTTTTCACAAAGTTAATTTATAAGAGTATAAATATATACACTGGTCGGCATAAGTATTTTGACAAAAAAAATGTTAAATGTACCCATAATTTGAACTTACTTCTTGTAAACTTTTGTCATCAATGGGAAGGTAATATAAATGCCGTTTGAATAATACAATACATTTCATAACCCATTCAGTATTTATTGAAAAGGACGAATATGTGTAAATCTACTTTTAAAT